CAAAAGAAAGAGACAACACTACTCCATAAACAAACAGATTAAGCTGTACTAAACTGAAAATGTTTGCCATAAGGTTTGATCCAGAAAATATACCTAATATATTGATTTAATACCATTGTGTTCATCTTGTATAATTTGTAAGGGCAGGGCATGCAGTGAAAACACTGTAGAGAAGTCTGGAGTTATCCTTCATGGAGACTTTTTTTATTTTCAAAATACCAGTCATTGGGTGCAATCTGGTCCATTCCAAAGATAAAATATTTTGCTTTTCTTAAGTATTTTTGTGAGCTCTCTGGCAGGAATGACTTAGTATCCAGAGAGGGAATGACTCAGTTAGGGTGACCAGATGTCCTGATTTTATAGGAACAGTCCCGATTTTTGGGTCTTTTTCTTATATAGGCTCCTATTACCCCCCAACCCCTGTCCCGATTTTCACATTTGCTGTCTGGTCACCCTAGACTCAGTATGAGGTAGGGCAATCATCCAAATCTTCCCTTCAAATTGGTGGAGACATTTTAACATGGATCTTCTGGAATTGCCCTCCAGCACAGGACTACCATGCATCAATGTAATGTTCAAAGGAAGCAAGTCTGCGTCAGGGGTCAGGAAGTCTGGATCAGTCCACATCCTTCAGCGACCTGCTCTTGCACACAGGTATATTTTTGTCTTGAAGTATGACAAAATGCTGCTGTTAAAGCACAGTACTGAAAGCAGTAGATTTGGGTTTTATTCCTGGCTTTGTTGTACACTTTTTGTGGAACCTTGAGAAAGCCACATAATCTCTTTGTGCATCAGTATCCTCCACTGTAACAACTGGAGAAAAAATAAGTATCTACTTCAGAAGGGGGTTGAGAGGATCAAGGCGCTGATCCAGCAAAGCACTCAAACCAAACTTAACCTTACATTCATGAGTGGTCTCCTTAAAGTCCCTTTCCCTGGGAGTAAAGTTTAGCCTATGTTTAAGGCCCAGATGTTTAAAGGTATTTAGGTGTTGCTATCCTCAGTGTTGCAATGCTCAGCTAATTTAGAAGCTTAAATCTCATTTTCAAATGGGATTTAAACACTGAGAAGCCAAAATCCCATTGACACATATGGGATATAGGCTCCTAAGTGCCTAAATCCCTTTGGAAAATGAAACTTGGGCATTGAATGCAGCAACACCTACATATTTTGAAAAATCTTGGCCCATGTGTTTTGTTTTAAGATAGCTTAATTCATTAACATCTATAAAGAGCTGCAAAATACTCACATGGAAAGAGCATGTTAGATAATTTAAGTCTGCAATGCTTTGGTTTTCTTCTACTAAGAGCAAAAAATATACTTTCTGTCTTGTCCCCAAACCTGCAAGCAGTTAAAGATGTTCATCATTTCCCTCAGGTGAGTAGTCTCATCAAGTCTATGGGACCATTCACGTGAGTAAAGTTACACAGGTGCTTAAGTATTTGCAGGATCAAGGGCATATATTTTCTTGTCTTATTTTAAGAAAGGAAGAAAGAAAGAAACTGAACCTCAGTGAGAAAGTAAACTGTTTCTCCTTCAAGATCCATCATCTTGACTTCCCCCACAGTCACAAACTAAACTGAAAAATATGGCATGTTCTTTACATTGCCATTCAAACATTAGTGTGGCCTACCTGTATTAGTATAGTTAATTGTATTACATAGTAATGTTTCTAGTAACGGAACACTGAGACACAGCGAGAACAGTAAGATATACTATAGAATTATAGCTCATGGTTATGTAATTATGGAAATAGTTCATTTTATGTAATTCTTCTAAGCCAATATACTATAGATGGAAATTGACAATGCTGTCCCCTGTTAACCTACTATTTACCCATTTTATTATACCGCATCTGCGCTATATCCTTTAAGTTTTATTATTGTATTGTGTATATTTCATATCAGTGATATATATGTTTTATTTTTGTTTACCTTCTGACATTAGTGCACAGTGCTCCACTGTCCTACATATTAGTCTAAACTTGATTAAATAATTGTCATCTGAAAAATATTATATTGTATTCTAAACAAAGAATGTATTTCAGTGCTTATGTCTGGAATAGAGTTAAGGATACATGCATGACTTTTATTTTAGCATTTCCTTACTTCTGCTGAATGCTTGACTTTGCCATTTTAACATTCTTCATTTTTTTGTATGTTATATAGAGTTTGTTTATAATCCTGTAAAACGCTTTGAGGTTTATATACATAAATAAATTATTTTATGAAATATGCTGTAAAATTAATGTATTTTGTATACACTGACTGGTTATTTTAGGAATGGTGCAAATCATGTTTTGTGTTTAAATGTGCATTGATGAACACAACTACTATAAGCAATTTTTCTTGAAATAATGTAATAATGAATTTGATTCCATGTTAGAAGTGAAGATTTTAATCATATAAATATATATTTAATCATATAAATAAATTATATACATTCTAGAAATTCAGAGTTGAGATTCTCAATTGCCAAGTTAATTCTGTCCTCTTGATTGTATCATTACAATAAGGTCTTTCATTACATGACCATGCAACAATGAACACTGTGAAATATTATTCTCTAATTAATATAATATAATGAAAAGTAAATGCACCTTTTCTGTAATGTCAGGTGCACTCATAATGCACTTTGTATTACTGCATATATACTGTCTGGTATTTTAATAAGATCTCAGTCTAATGCACATAAATAAGAGGAAAAATTCTTGACTTTTGTGCAATTCACTTATCAATATTACATGAAGGCAGTTTTTTGTGTAAGAGAGGAGCCAATCACATAAATTATATCAGCCTAATAGAGAAGAGGTAGAATTTTTTCCATAAGAGTCTAAGGAAAAGAATCCAATAAGTAGATTTACAGTTAGGCTGCTTTCACATCACAGTCATCAAATCAGTGCAGAGGATGCACTAGTACAGTCCGTGATAATCTTTCCTCTAATGCCAGACCCTCTTACCATGAACACAGCATTTGGGGGAGTGGGAGAGGAAATGCTGCATTGTGGAATGTCACACCTCTCCAGACATGGAACTTTAAATACAAAAACAAAAAACCTGTCTTCTGAAAAACACAAAGTAATCACAGAGAATATAAGGCTATAATTCATTCTCAGGGCTCTGCTGGTATTCATGTGCCAACACAGCCCATCAATTAAAATATAACTCAGATATATGTGGTAATAGCCCCAAAGTGAATGTAACAATACAATATGTTTCATAATGTCATTAGTTTTTTGGCCAATATAAAAAACTTTTCAGATCATTTTTAAAACCCTATCTAAAGAATTGATTTACAATTGATAATATTCTTATATTTCAGAGTTAAAGTTTTTATTTAAAATAAATATCACTAGTTCCTGTTAATTCTTGAGTTGTACTTTTTATCAGTGTATAGTGCATAGCACTTTGCTTTTTCTCAGCCTCACATCTTGGCATCAGTCAACTCAAACCATCAAGGTTTAAATTTATAATTCATATATGAACAACAGTGACCTCATGTGGCTATTGCTTCAGGGATGCACATTTATCAAAGAACAAAAGAATGAAGTGTTTCTTCATGACAGGATTATAGAAGAGTTCAGAGGAAGCCCACTGTGATGTATTATAGCTTTTGTCTTCAGACAACATTTGCTACAGTATTGCTTTTAAAGAACTCAGTTCAATAAGAGATGCCTTGAACTGGCCAACAAGCACTCCTGGACTGTAAAACTTATCTATCATCTAATTTTAATAACACTTCCCATAATGTCTGAGAGTTCCCCAGACAAATTAGGTTTGTATAGCATGGTATTTCATTGATTCCAGAGCCAGAAGGGACCGCTATGTTCATCTAGTCTGACTAGGGTGACCAAACTTCCCATTTTGGCCAGGGCAGTCCCCTTTTTAAGCCCTGTTCCAGACATCCTGACGTTTTCGGTAAAAATGGGTTTTGCCAAAAAACTGGGGTGCACCCCCTAAGGGGTATGTGGAGGAACATTTGGGGGGGGCAGGGGTGATGCGAAGTGCCAGGCGGTGGGGCTCTGGCAAGTGATGACACCAGGTGATGCCAGCCGCACACAGTGTCCAGTTTTTACTTAAGGAAATTTTTACTTTGGGTCACTCTAAATCTGACCTCCTGTACAACACAGGCCATAGAACTTCCCCAAAATAATTCCTAGAGCAGATCTTTTAGAAAAACATGCAATCTTGACAAAAATTGTCAGTGATGGAGACTCTACCACAAATGTTGGTAAAATGTTCCAATGGCCAATTAGGCTGTGTTTTGGCAGGCAATTTTGGGCTACTGAATTCCTACTGCAGGGAAAACTTTTAAGTTGCTGTATGTATTTGCCTTTCTGTGTAGCCAAACACACAGTAAATTTGCCCAAAACACCACCTTGTCTTTGCCTATTTCTGCTTCTGGGGCTAGCATTTTTAAACAGGAGGTCACACTAGATGATCACAGAGATCCCTGCTGGCCTTATAATCTATGAATCTTGGTAGGAAAGATATAATGTGACTTATCACAAAAAGAAGGAAGACTCACACATTCCTCATTCTTTTACATTTACACAACCAATCCGTTAAATCCTTCAAACCTCATTTAATCCTTCAACTGAATAATGGGAGTTTTGCCCAAGTAAGGACCAAGTTAGGACTGCAGGATTTGATCTCACTTAGGCCCCAATCTAGCAAAGCACATGATTAACTTTAAGCATGTGAGTAGTCCCAGGTGCCTAAGTTCTTTGCTGGGCTGGAACATTATACAGGTGAGTTTTCAGCATGTTTTATTTCCAAATTCAAATATTTTCTTATATTTTGCCTAACCTGTATCAACAAGGGAAATGTTAAACTCCATGGAAGTCAATATCATTATATCCCTGTTCTTCAATATATCCCTGTTCTTGTAACTGGTGAAGCCTTCCTATTTCCCATCCTTCCCTTCCATAATTAGCAGCCAGGTTGTCTCATCATAAGGATTTTTAACTGATGATTAAGGTAAACAAGAGCCTTACCCACCTGTCTTGCAAAACTCCTTTCTCAGAGCTTTTACATTCTGGTACAAGCTGCTACATTACACCTTAAAGGATAAGAAATAAGTTTCAGCAATACATGTAGTGTATATAAATATATTTATCTGCAAGGATGTTACTGCTATTCCCATAATCATCCATTCTCTACAAAGGATGCAGTTCTTTACCAGACTTCATGCCACTCTTTTGTTTCAATACAAAAACATACAATATATCAACAATATTGGCAGAACAGAACTGTTTTGTTTATTCCTAAAAAGCTAGGACCTGAGTCTGCTCAAATTGAAGTCAGTGGCAAAACTCCCATTGACTTTAATGGGAGTAGGACATAGTCCTTAGTTATAAAAGATACATTTCTGAACATCAGTGGAATGTAAATTTAGGTAATGATTTGGAACTTTTCCAATCGCAGCTTAAGCCTTGGAAACAACTGATTCCCTCTGAAAGTCATTATAGCTGAACATGAAAATTCTTGTGATACTATAGCAAATTGACATCACACAAGCATCAATAATGACTTGTGTACCAAAGAAACAAACACCTGTACTTACATTCTAAGAACAAGGAAAAATAAAAATAAAAGGCTTGGAGTAACTGAATTATGAATTAGAAGTTTGTAAGTGTGTTTTATTTTTATTTTTTCATTTTTATTTTCAGCTAATTCAATGACACATAAAATTACCATAAGAAAAATTGGCTTTGCTGTTTTACAATGGTATACAAAAAGAATCATTAAAGATATCCTGATGATAGGCAAATCTTTATTTGTGTGAAAATCATGGCTACATGAAGCTCGAATGCAGATGTATGCTTCTCTCTCCCTTTTCCTTTTCAATTTCATGATGAGAAGGAAAAGAGATAATTAAGCAGTGTAGACATGAATGAATTATCCCACCCATCCTGACAAGTGAAGATAAATATCATAGCATCAGCCTGCATTTGTCAGATGTAGGAGCAGAGAATTTAGCATACTGAATCAGCTCACTTGTCCATCAAATCCAAACCCCATGTCTGCTGTGACCCATACCTGAAATCTTACACAGATAGACACAAAAGACTCAGTACATCTTGTTCATAATGCTGCTTATGCAGATTTTATTTTACATCATTTTTACTTTCTCATACATGTAGATTGCTACCTAATATATTACAATAATCAGATGCTCAAGAAGCTATCTGCTTTTACAACCAGCAGCCATGGCAACCAATCCCTTGCTGGGTTGGCAGCCTACTCCACAATTTACACGCAAGCCTATTCTTTTCTGCTATATTTTTCAAAGATGGTTTGGCATTCTGCAAAATCTTTAAGCCTCCTGGAAACACATCAGGGTAAATTATACCAGTTACAGAAAGACAGATAATCACCTATCTTCATTATTCCTAACGTGCCTAACTCCTTGGTATTTAGCTACTGAAAAACCCTTCCCCAACATGAGTATAAAAGTCTATAGTGAATAATGCTTTTTATAGGGCATAGGTGGATATGAATCTCAAAATTTGATTCCAGATCCAAACTTGCCCAAAATTTGAGGGTGGGTTTTGGGTCAACCTTTATAATAAGGCTACCTGTGAAGTTCGTGTCTAGGATGTTCTGGTGTAAGGTTTTGGTTCAGGCCCATCTCTAATTTAGAGGAAAAGACTAAAGTCCAGATCCTCAAAGGTATGTAGGTACCTAACTCTCACTTAAGTCAATGGTAGTTAGGTGCATAAATACCTTTGAGGATCTAGGTCTAAATTCACTGAAGGAATTTTGATGCAGTTGCCAGGGAAATTAGAAATGGCAAAGTCTACTCATGAATCCATCTGACTCTCATTCACTTCAGTGGGAGCAGAATGTATTCATTCAAAGGGCAAATTTGGCTCATAATTAATATATACTGTAGATTCTTGAGGTAATGCACAAGGCAAAAAAATTTGATCTCTTAAGTAAAATATAATTTGTCAGGGTTTTACAGTTAAAAACCTTGCACCAGTTATGAGACTTATTACAATTAATATCGAGTAATACATGAAAACTGTTGGGGGAAAATAACCCTAATATGTGAATAAACAAGTTTGTTTCTCTAAATTTCTTAGTAGAACTAATATAAACATAAATGCTACAAACCATAAAATGCCCAGCTGTATATTGGGACAATTGAAAGAATAAAGGGGCCATTTTCCAAGACAAAAAGGGCAGATAGGTGCCCAACTTCCTATCCTTCGTGCCTTCAGAAAACTTCCCCTCGAGAATAACTTGCCAAATGAAGTTACACCAGTGTAAGCACCACTCTACACCAGGTTAGCATGTCTACATTAGGTGGTTGCATCACTGTAACTCTATTAATACAGTTACGCAGGTGCAAATTTTCGTAATGTTAGACAAACTCTTCAATTCTAGGGCTTGATTCTCCACGCTGTTATGCCATTTTACACTGGGGAAATTCCATTGAAGTCAATGGAACTAACCTGATATAAAGGTGGTGTAATGTCAAGGAGAATTAGGCCCAATACAGTCTAAAATTATACTAGTATATTATACTATTAATATTATAATATTAATATATATTAATTCTCATATTATAACCGAATTTAAACCAAATCCAGATTTTTACGCTAGCAAGCCATTAACAATGATCTCTGATTCATAAGGAAACAATGACTGGAATGTTTATATTTATTATATCCCTGCTTTATGCAGGCGATTAGTTTAATAAGTGTCTGCAATACAGCATACATTAATTTAATTAAGAGATAATATGAATTGAAGAGAACATTGTCACAGGATAATGGTCTCTTTCTTCTACATGAATGCTAAGATATTTATGAAAAATAAATACGGAAGGCACACACACATTTTTCAAGGAAGATACCTCTCCTGTAATATAGTTTTATGTAAGTGCATTTATTTCTATTCTGCCTAATGATTTATGTAGATCTAGAGCTTGATTCCTTGCTGACTTACATCTACTGTAGTCATTTACAATGCATCAGTGCAAAGGGGCTTACTAGATGGTTTTTACACAAATCTGTACTGTTGAAGGTAACTTCATGAGCTGAAAGGGAATAAAATTATTTTCAGCAACTTCACTCCCACCCTTCCGAAAGATTACTCCACCTTCTTTTTCTCCCTACTCAGAGACCATTTGCTCCAACACACTTGCTTCTAGCCTGGCCATGTTTCTCCTACACTTACATAACCCCACCAGATGTGACTAAAAGTTATGTTTGGAAGAGAGTGCCATGTTTTAGCCTTTCCCCTAAAAATACTCTTCCTCCACACCTAATCTTATTTATTATGCTTTGTATCCAGTAGCTGTGTTTGGATCCGGGCCTCACTGGGCATGTACTGTACACACATATATAATCAAGACAGTCACTGCCCCAAAGAGATTAAAGTCTAAATATATGATGTGATGAGATAAAACAGGACAAGGTAACCGTGAGATGATTATGATTAGTGCAATAAACAGCACAGTGGCTGACGATGCTTCATAAGCATCATGAAAGAGGAGAACTTGAAGGAGGGAAAATAATGTGGTGACTGTGGATTTTTACAAGGAGCAAAGGTGTAGGAGGGAAAACTTGACTAACAAGCAATAAAGGCTTCCATGATTGGCATAATAAAAACTGGGGACTATGCATGTGCTAAAAGTTAAGCACACATGTAAGGACTTTGCAGGATCAAGGTCAATATGCAGGCCACATTATTCTGCATCCACTTCAGCTTCCAAGTGTTCTCCAGACGTATCCCTATGTAGAATGCATTATAGTCTATTTTCTTTGGGTGGATTTTCAAAGACACAAATAGATGTCCAAATTCCTTTGAGTTTTAATGAGAGTGTGACAGCTATGGCAAGTTCCCGCAATATCCAGGACAAACCTTATTGAATTAAGTTAAATCATATTGATTTAAGATTGATCATTTAAGCATCTTAGGAGCTCACTGTATTAAAAATGCAAATGCCTATGTGTTGTTGTAGGATTATATGTAACTTGGGTAGGAGACGTGACCAATGTAAACCTTGGGAAGTGTTATGAGCTTCAACTCTTTTAAACAATGGGACAAGAATGATTTGTTAGTTTCCTAGGAAATATGTGGGAGGAGGGGATGCAAATGCCCATTTCTGGATCTGATCTTTAGAACCTTCACTTTGGGAAGGGGACCTTTGTCTATGAATTTCCTATTCCCAGGATCAAAAGGCCCAAATGGCACAAAGGAGTATCTCATAGATTCCTAGGATTTCTTGTTCTGAGCCAAAGGAGTTATGAATTTGTAACCACAAGAAACCCCCAGAGTGTGGTTTGAAGGACTGTTCAACAGCCAGAGCCCTTTTTGGAGTTGGGGTGATCTCTGGTAAGCTTCTTAGCGTGTGTGTAGGTTCTTTTAATGGTTTCAATAGGTTTCCCCTGTAATGCTTTACCTTAAGAATAAATGGGTTTGCTTAGAACTAGGTGCGTGGTAATTTAAACTGCGGGGAATTGCACTATTAACCATTGCTCAGGAGAAAAGTAAAGAAGGCCTGCTGAGGCAGTCTGATTTTGCCAGGGAAATTCATAGCAAATTCACTCTGCAGCCTGGAAATAAGCTAGTCAGGAGGGAGAGAGACACTGCTGGGGAGCCAGAAGTCTAAGAGCGGGTGTCCTTGCTGGACCATAGGTGGGGATACAGGTGCAGCTGCCCTGAACTCTGACAGGAGGTTGGGCACTTAACTCTCTTAAGTTCTGAAAAACCCACCCAAGCTGATAAAGACATGGTCCACACCTGAAAGAATCTTTCTTCAGAGCCTAGGTCTTTATGAACAGAATTTCTGTCACCATTTCCTTGTCTACTTGTGATTATTCTTTCATATCCTAGTAGATTTGTGTTAATATTTGATTTAATTATGTGAAATCTATAGCTTACATTTATTTTTTAAAAGTTTTTAAAAGTTTTCTTTGTTCTTATTCTGAGAAAAGCATCTTATTCCGTGTTGCTATTATGTTGCCTTAAAATATAGAATCCTCTAAAAGTCACTTAATGGAGCTACAATAGTTTCTGAATCAAGCTGCCAGCCAAATGGCAGAT